TTTGCTGGATTCATTGCGACCATATCAAGATAAGGTCGACAATATATTTTGTTTTGCAACACCCTACCCCGTCATGGAAGGGTAAAAATAAAATAAAATAAATAAAGGTACTATAGAAGGCCCTAAATCTGTAAAATAATAGTAAAATCCAGAAGATCCTCTTATTGCAGATTAGGCGGTCATCTATAAGTGGAAGAACTACAAAAAGTCTTCTAGTCATAGAAGACCTTTAGGAGGTCCTTGACGAGTTGAATTTAACGGAGCTAAAATTTTAAAGTAGGAAAGCCAGTAGGTTTCAACAAGGTCTTTAGATATGTTGCTAGGTTTTTTGTTGGTTGAACGTTGCTGGGAAGTAGTCACAGCAGCTGATCTAGCTGGTGGTTCTTGGACTTTGGTATGTGATCGAATCCTTTCGGTGTCGAATTTAAAGGGGCTAACATTTTTCGTATTGGCAGCTGTTAATGGTAAATACTTTTGTTGCTACTTCGTGGTTTCATCTCATGTTGCTGCACTGAATGCCGTGTCGGAGGTCTGGGTGACTTGCCTTGATGTGTCGCCCAACTGGCCAATATGGGGGGTGGGGTTTCCCCGAATTTTGTGGCATTATTTTGAGGTCATTTAATAGGGAGACCATGTTCTCGATTGAGATCACCATGCGATAAGAACACACGATCGCATGGCGATCTCAATCGAAAAAAATGTAATGTCAATTTTTTGTTTTTCGATAAATTATCGGGAATTAAATTTACGTTCTGGCTTTTCCCTTTATGATCCGGACAAACATGCACTAACACTGCCCACAAATTGGTTGGTTCCATGGTGAATTTGCAATTTGCCAAGGGTGGTACCATGCCACCATTCAATTTACTGTTACTATTATTGTTGGCTTTTGAAGCAGCCATTTGACAATCGAACGGAAAATGAGAACGAAATTTGAGAGAGATTTGGGAATATGATCAAACCCTTCCGGCTTCGAATTTAACGAGGCTAATATTTTTGGGTTTGACAGCTATTTGGAGGCTACCATCTTTATTGCTACTATGTGGTTATATCTCAGGTGGATGTACCAAATGTGGTATCGGAGCACTGGTCGGTATGTTCTGATGTGGCAAAAAACTACCCAATATGGGGGATATGGTATCCTCCGAAATTTGTTTATTTTGCGGCATAATTTTTTGTGATTTTGAAATGACGAGGTTCTATCTTCTATTACCGAGCTGGGTACAGCACCCGGCCCCGTGCGTTTTATATCGCAACGATTGAGATCGTGTGATTTGGGTAAAATGTGATACCAATTTCTTTTGGTTTTTCGATTAATTATCGGGAATTGAATTTACGTTTTGGTTTGTCGGTACAATTTCCATCCTCTGATGATCCAGACAAAATTGCACTGATATTGCCCACAGCCCTGAGGAACCGGATGGTGGTCCGGTTACGATATCTTCGGATTTTATATAGTGTTGAAACTTTGGACTTGGATCCATTATGAATTTGGAATTTGCCAAGGGCGATACAATGCCGCCATTCAATTGACTGTTACTGTTTTTGACTCGATCGGAATGACTGATATTATCGCATAGTCTTCACGTGAATCATATTGGATTTGCTTCCGACGCCCAACTTTTCGAATAAGGCCCCCGGACGTTTGTTAAATTGCGCCAAATATGATTCTGTGCGTACAACATACACATTTAAGTAACTGTTATTGTTGGTCATTTAGGCAGCCACCTGACAACCTGATGGAAAGAGATAACGTTGTTTGGTGGTTAAATCAAATGATCTGATGACCGCGGTAACAATAATCCGAATGATTGATATCACCGCATAAGTTGTCTTCACGCGAACACGAACGTTTGACACTCAGATTGGAATTGTATTCGATGCCCTGCTTTTCGATCAGGGCGAGATGTCTTCATATGGAAGACATGGAGGTATTTTTACAGAAGACCAGAAAGTGTTCTTATAGAATGTAAGGGGGAATTCTATATACATGATTATACATGATCCGGTTTTGTCTTTTTATAGAAGACCAGGAGGTATCCATATGAAATACCAGAAATTCTTCATTTAAAATACCAGGATGCATTCATATAGAAGAACCGGTCCTCTGACAGGAGGTGATCTTATAAAAGACCAAGTGGTCTATTTATAGAAGACCCGGGGGCCTCTTATAGATGGCTGTGAAGGTATTTCACATAGAAATACCAGTAGTTATTCATTTAAAAGACCATGAGGTATGTCTTCAAATAGAAGAACATGCTCTGTGCCCGGTGGTCTTCTTATAGAAGACCAGGAAGTATCTTTACAGAAGACCCGGGGGTCTTCTTATGGAGGACCAGTAGGTCTTCTTATAGAAGACCTTTATAGAATACTCGGAGGTCTTCTTATATAAAACTAAGGGATCTTTTATAGAGACAAGGAGGTCTTCTTTATAAAAGACACGGGGGCAATTTTATAGAAGACCGGGGTATTCTTATAGAAGACAATGAGGTATCTTTACAGACTTCATATAGAAGACCAGGAGGTCTCTTTATGGGAGTCATGAAGTCTCCATATGAAATACCGGGACTTCATTAGTGTTGGCGGTTTATTTGGGATACCATTTGTATTTTGTTTTTGCAAAATAGTCAGGCTGAATGCCAGTTTGTTGTTTTTATATAAAAAAGCAACTATTTATTAGTGGGGAATGTATGGCATTGTTTGCCGAGGGGTAAGGCAGGGAAGACTATAGTTTCGGATCACGCCACTGATCCTCATCAGTTCCCTTAGCTCTTTGTTGGGATATTCTCCCCAGAAGCTATTGCTTCTATACATTTGAAAGAACAGGGTGTATTCAAATAGAAAAAGAGGTTATCTGCTAGAAGATCTTCATAACAAAGACAAGAGGGTCTTCTTATAGAAGAAGAAAACCAGGAGATCTTTTAGAAGGCAGGAGGTATTTTTATAGAATACTAGCATTACTTAATGTAGAAGGTCTTTTGGTTCTTAATAGTATAATGGCCTTCTATATGAAGGTTAAGAAGACCTACTGGTATTCTATAAAGAGACATACTGTTCTTTTTATAGAAGGCCTCTTTGTCTTTTATAAGAAGACCTTGTGGTCTTCAATATGAAGGCATCCTTGTCTTCTATAAGAAAACTCCGTTGTTTTTCTGTAAAATGTCCTGGCTTTTTCAAAAAATCCTTTGGTTTTATATTCTATAAGAGAATATTTTTGGTCTCAAGAGGAAAACTCTCTGGGTTTCTATAAGAAGATTTTCCGAAAAACCTCCAGGTCTTTCATAAATATATTACCTTCCGATTGCCTATAAGATGAACCTCTGATCTGCTATTAAACAATATACTGATCTATTTAATATGAATATATTCCAAAAGTTCTTGGCGAAGTTTTTCTCTATAGATTTTCTTTATATGGTGACAAAGAATTCGACCTCATCCACCATTTTCTTGTTGACTTTTCAATTTATTATTTTATTGTTGCTTTTATTTGTTTTGTTTAGTTCAGTTTTTTTGTTTTTCTCTCATAAAAGTAATTTATTTTTTTTTTATTTTGTTGTGGTTATTTGTTTCTTTATTTTGTTGTTCTTTTATAAGTTTTCTTGGTTCTCGATTCTAAACTATTAACGTTTGTCGCTGGCGAACGATGATGGCTGGCTGGCTGGTTCGCTGGCTTGGCGGTTGGTTGTCATTGCCACCGTCATCAATGTTGTTCCACTTCAGACGGTTATATTTTTTCGCTGACAGATAAAATAACACAATCACAGTACAAACACACGCACACACACACACACACATGTCAATTACAATCGGCCTAGTCAAGAGGTGTGTGGAACCAAAAACCCCCCAAAGAAAATGATTCTGATTTAGTTTGAAATTATATTTTCATTGTTTCTCTGGCTGGTCTTTAGCGAAGCGCTCGGCAAATTTTTATAGAAAAAAAAATTACAATCGGAAATTATTTTTAAATTAGTTGTTGTTATTTTTGTGATTTTGTTTTCAGTGTAACTAATTTTTCAAATCGGATTTGATGCTAGAATTACACGTTGAAAGTTGTATTTCTTTTTTTTCGAAGAAAAGTGAAATTGAATATCGAAAAGTAAAGCATCGTATCGAGAATTTGCTTTGTCATTAAAATAATTTTTGTGATTGTTGTTGGTGTTCTAATTTTTTTCTTCGTCGTGGTGATTTCGCATTTGTCTTGGAAAGCAACGTAAACATGGTAAAGACCATCAGGGCAATTATGTTAAAATTAACAAATAACAACATTGCGGAATAATAGGAACTCTTAATTACAATCTTCTAAGGATATTAATTATCTTATATATAATATTGACTGAAAGGATATCTATAGGTCTACTAGTGATAGAAAAACTTCTTGGATAAATATAATAACTTAGACGGAATCCCTGTAAATAAAATACCTTAGGCATATATCTATATCACCAGAACTTATATAGGTTGTTAAGGTTTTACGGGACCTTATTATGTATGCATAGGTCTTCTATACCCCAGTGACCTCTTACAATGCTCCTATAGACATACAGCCTTCTAAAAGTCATTTATATTTTATAAGTAGATAATAATAAACAGGTCAGGGATTTTTTTCCGACTTTCTATAAGATTACATTCTGCTATTCTAAAAGAAAAACTTTCGTATTTCTATAAGACCTTTCAGCTTTCTCAGACCTTTTGATTTTCTAAGACCTGGTTTCTAGTTGACGACATTCTGGTCTTCCATTAGACGATCATTTGGACTGTTATAAAAAGTCACTCTAGTTCATGTGATTTTCTATAAGACCTTATGGTTTTCCATAAGATGATCTCATGGTCTTCTGTAAGAACATCTTTTGGCTTTCTATTAGAATACCTTTTGGTGTTCTATAAGAATAACTTTCCATCCTATTGATTTTTTTTGAATATCAAAAACATTTTATATACCTCTTTTTACCCATAACTAACCTAATTCCTCTTATCTATTCTTTTCTTTGCAGACATCTCTTGTGCCACAAACACGTAATTTTCTAAGTAACTCCCCTCATCATCATTGCTGCCCTCAAAATGGAGAAACCAATGCAACCGGTTGGTAAAGTTTCGCAAATTGCGAATCTATTCCAACGCAAACCAATTGAAATACAACCAGTCGAACAGTTGAGTGCTGCCGCCGCCGCAGCAGCTGCAGCAGCAGCGGCCGCCGCTGCCGCCAACCCCACGGGTACACCCGCCACTGTTGTACGCACAGAATCACATTCGGCGCGATTTAATAACGCTCGAGCCCTATTCGAAAAGTTGGGCGTCGAAAGCAATTCCAATCTGAGTGTCAAACGTTCGGGTTCGCGTGAAGACAACCTTTGCGGTGATATCAATCATTCGGATCGTTCGTCGTCGCGTTCCTCTGATCGTTCGATTTCACCACCCAAACGACGTTCTCCCTTCCCGTCCGGTTGTCAGGTGGCTGCTTCAATGGCCAATAATAACAGCAACAGTCAATTGAATGGCGGCATTGTACCGCCTTTGGCAAATTCCAAATTCATAATGGAACCAAGTCCAAAGTTTCAACACAATATATCACGTTTGAAATCCGAGGATAACATAACGTCATCATCATCCGGTCCCTCGGGTATGGGCAGTGTTAGTGCAATTTTGTCCGGTTCATCAGGTGGTGTCGACAAACCCGAGAAGCCAGAACGTAAATTCAATTCCCGAGAATTAATCGAAAAACAAAAGAAATGGACATCACATTTTACCAAAACCAAGACCACACGATCTCATGGTGATCTCAATCGTTGCGATATCATACGCACTGGGCCGGGCACCGTGCTCATACCCAGTTCGGTGATACAAATGAAAGATGCAACATCGCCGCCTTTGAATAATCACAAAATAATGCCACAAAATAATCAAATCTCGGAAACCCGATCCCCCATATTGGCCAGTTTGGCTTCGCATCAAGACAAACCACCCAGTCCTCCGATACGACATTCGGTGCAACCGCCCGAGATAAAACCACGTAGTAGCAACAAAATTGGCAGCCCCGTAAAATCGCCACCTCTACCACCCATACCAGCTGTCAAACCGAAAAATGTTAGCCCCGTTAAATTCAATCCCGAAAGGGTTCGATCACCTACCAAAGTCTCGGAACCACCACCGCCACCACCAGCTAAATCAGCTGCAGCGGCTGCTGCCCAGCAGCGTTCGATTGATGAACAAAATGGCATTGCCCCGATACCACCAGAAAAACCTCGCAAAAAATCCATAGATCTCGTGGAAACGGAGGAACGCATTACCCCCTCATCGCCAACCATACAGGCACCAGGTTATGTTCATGCCGCCAAACGAGGTTCTATTGATAGTGCCGGCAATAGTGCATCAATTGCCAGTGTCAATGGCCTATTGAGTGGTAGCAGTAATTCGGCTGCTTCACCGGGAGCCAGTGCATCGTCGGGACCATCGTCGCCGGTACACACCGAAGATGAGAAACAGGAAAATGAATCGACCGAAAAATCGGAAATGCAACAACAGTATTATCACAGTATGCCGCGTAGACGAAGGAGCGAAAATGAAGGTGAGTGAAGGGAAAAATCGGTACCGTAAAGCTGAAGGGGTGCTCAAATAACAATAAGTAGAGAATATAAAACTAAACGGACTTATTATGTGCTATAAAGAGATAAAAATTATCTATAATGTCTAGAACAAGTTTTCTATAGATTATGCCTATGAGGCTAATTTTTTAAAGGATTAGCAGAGCATAGATTTTTTAAAGAATATTTTCTCGAGTTTTTGCAAAGCATAGATTTTTTAAAGAATATTTTTTCAAGGCTTAGCAAGGTGTAAATTTTTAAAGAATATTTTTTCAAGGCTTAGCAAGGCGTAGATTTTATAATAAATATTTTTTCAAGTCTTAACAAGGCGTATATTTTTTAAAGAATATTTTTTCAAAGCTTAGCAAGGTGTAGATTTTTTAAAGAATATTTTTTCAAGGCTTAGCAAGGGGTAGATTTTTTAAAGAATATTTTTTCAAGGCTTAGCAAGGTGTAAATTTTTAAAGAATATTTTTTCAAGGCTTAGCAAGGCGTAGATTTTATAATAAATATTTTTTCAAGGCTTAACAAGGCGTATATTTTTTAAAGAATATTTTTTCAAAGCTTAGCAAGGTGTAGATTTTTTAAAGAATATTTTTTCAAGGCTTAGCAAGGTGTAGATTTTTTAAAGAATATTTTTTCAAGGCTTAGCAAGGCGTAGATTTTTTAAAGAATGTTCTTTCAAGGCTTAGCAAGGCGTAGATTTTTTAAAGAATATTTTTTCAAGGCTTAGCAAGGCGTAGATTTTTTAAAGAATATTTTTTCAAGGCTTAGCAAGGCGTAGATTTTTTAAAGAATATTTTTTCAAGGTTTAGCAAGGCGTAGATTTTTTAAAGAATATTTTTTCAAGGCTTAGCAAGGCGTAGATTGTTTAAAGAATATTTTTTCAAGGTTTAGCAAGGCGTAGATTTTTTAAAGAATATTTTTTCAAGGCTTAGCAAGGTGTAGATTGTTTAAAGAATATTTTTTCAAGGCTTAGCAAGGCGTAGATTTTTTAAAGAATATTTTTTCAAGGCTTAGCAAGGTGTAGATTTTTTAAAGAATATTTTTTCAAGGCTAGGAATTATTTTCGAAGGGTCTTCAATTCTTGGAATGTCATCAATGTTAAGATCTCCAGAGCCAACAAGGCTTGGGTCATGAATAAATTTCGATGGTCAGTAAACGTTGCAATACCAACCGATATACTTTCATATATTTGTTTACATTTTAATTGTCATATGTATATATCAATGTTATGTATGTACAAAAGGAAAAAAATGGAAAACAAATGCCGGCACAACAGAATACTCCCTTACATCGAGAGCTTTTCTCTATGAAGTGCCTCATTTTGTACAGACATGCGCTGTGTTGTCCACACTCATCACACAAGAAAGCTTTTTACATCTGTGTATTTGTTGTGTATTGCACAATGTGGCAACATTATAACTTAATCAATTATGGAAATGTATATTTTGTGTTGTTGAGCATTGACAACAGATGTCGTTAGTAGTAGACGATTGTTATATGGGAAAGAATGAACAGGAAGGCCTATACAAATTAAATATATATACTAAAAAAAGAGCCAATGACTGACTGACTTAACGATTCATCAACATCCAGACGAAACGGATGAAGCTGGAATCTTGAAAATTTGTGTGAGGGTCACTCTTGGTCCAAAAGTGACAGATAAACCTGGTTTTTTGGGAAATTCGTATTAGAGCGGTACAAAAAGTTCTAATTGTTGTACCATTTGTATTTGGCGAACCTGTACAGTTAGAAGTCCTAAATTTGAAATGAGTGTCACAGATGGAGTATATAATTAATAAAAAAGTATGCGAAAAATACTAAAAAGCACTAAATTTCGTACAATTTCGTAGCATGTGAGTGGATAGAGCTAAAAACATGAAATTTGGAATGCAATTTAAGGTTGAGAAGTAGGTAAGAAGATTGTTTTGAAACCGTATACTCATGTGTACGAAAATCACTATATGGTACATATTTGGTACAAATTTAATTTGGAGATACAAATGTAGGTGGAATCCTGAAATTTGAAATTTACATTACCGCCAGAGTGAAGGATTGGGATACCTATGTAGTTTTGCAATTTGGATTTGGGAGAACCCATACAGCTGGGATATTAAAATTTAGATTTTGGGTGTAGGATTAATAGATGGGGGGGTAGAATTGAGTTATGTAGGAAGTTTTGGAAATTCCTACTAAAGTGAACTAAATTTGGTACAATTTAAATTTTGGGTGAACCGATGTGTGGAAGTTTTGGAAATTTGTACTAAATGTTATCAAATATGAATTCGATCAACCGATTGAACTGGAATCTTAATATTGAGATCACTGTTGGTGCGTAGGATTGGACTTTGTAGAAAGTTTTGGAAATTCGTACTAATGTGTGCTAAGTTTGGTTCGACTTAAATTTTTGGTGAACCAGTAGAGCTGGAATTCTGAAGTTAGAGTCAATATTGTGGGTGTAGGGTTGGGGTATGTAGAACGTTTTGGAAATTTGTACTAATGTGTACAAAATGGTACCAAATGTGTGCCAACCGATAGAGCTGAAACACTAAAATTTGGAAATATGATTACTGTTGGGGTGTAGTATTGGCGTAAGGATGTAGTTTTGGAAAAACTTACTTATGGGTGCTAAATTGTACATAATTTGAATTTTGGGAGAGCTGATATAGCTGTAGACAATTTTGGAAATTCCTACTATTGTGTACTAAATGGTACCAAATTTGGATTTGGGTGAACCGATAGATCTGGGATCCTGAAATTTGAATGTAGGATCACTATTGGCGTGCAGGATTGAGCTATGTAGAAGGTTTTGGAAGTTCGTACTAATGTGTACTAAATGGTACCAAATTTGGATTAATGTGAAACGATAAGGTGGAATATTGACATTTGGAGTTAGGATCACTGTAGGGGTATTGGATTGGAGTATGTAGTCATTTTTGGAAATGTTTACTAATTTGTTCTAAATGACATTAAATTTGGTACAATTTGGATTTAGAGTGAACCGATAGAGCTTGATAAGATTTCCATTCCAATTTGATAAAAATTTTAATTTAGGTGAATCGATAGAGCTGGAATCCTGAGATTTGGAATTAAGAATGGGAGTGTACTAATGATTTTTAAAGTAGATAATTATTACATGAGTACAAAGGACAAAAAATGATACACAATTTAGTATAGAGCTAGATTTCTGTTGGGGTCAGAAATTGTGTGTAGAATTGAGATATGGATGTACTTTTGGACATACTAAAATTTTAATTATGACCGGTATTGGTTTTTAAATAATTCTCATATTCGGTATCGAAGTAGGGAGCATATGTTAATATATATGTAATTATGTGAGTCAAGGTAATAATTTATTAAATGTTATTTCGAATAAAATTAAAAATTAGTGTAAAGTTTGATTGAATCTCATCTTGTTTAATTGAAGTCCGGTTCCATAAATAAAGAAAATGCATCCAGAACGAAATGTTGTACAATTTTATAAACGTGGCATCTAGAGCGACTAGAAAAAGAAAAAACAAAGGAAAATATTCCTTAAAAAAAAAATAGGTTTTGGACTTCAGCATAAGCGGAAATTTCTACATTCTATTGTTGTACTACTGAACAATTTTGGAATACGTAGACCTCTGTGAATATTTATGTATAGCTCCCACATCCTGTCTCTGTCCCATTGGACAAAAATGTTATTTTGTTCGCCTTTTTCCTGACACTTTTCTGACATTTTTAGTATTTTTAAACGAAAAGTAGCTTGTTTTAACAAATAAATTGCACTTCCTTCTACAACTGCATGTCGTTTTGTATCGAATAAAACAATAACAAACAATCAATCATCAAAGTGTCTTTTTTTGATGTGGCATTTGGTCTGGACTTGGATCCACAATCTCAATTATCAAAGTGTGGCGTAAACATTGCGTACTCATAGAAATGTGGAACTCTATGCGGCAACGTGTGAATGTTGGACATTACTCTGTTATTCTTACCAGAAATATTCTTGAGGGGAGACTCTATTCTCCGTTATTATGGTTTTTCAAGAGATAAAGTTGAGAGAGTCAATTGATCTTTTATCCCATCCACTTCACACAAGATCTGATGATCTGAATTAGTAGCAAAATGTTTTTTGTACATTGTGCTCTTTCTATTTTCCACACGATTTGCTCTTTCATAAACATCTGAAATGGTGACATATAGGCCTTTTGTATAATTAAAAACTCAAAAGAGTAAACAATGCTGAAATGCCTAATTATGGGCGGTGGCCATCGTAAAATTTACTACCCTTCATCATCCATCCCCCTTCAGGCGGCGAGAATGTATAGTTTTAATTATTAATCGAATGTTATGAGACAATTTTTATTACATTGAGAAAAATTAATGTAGTATTGGAATACTTTTAATGGGAAAAATGATTTGTTCAAAAAAACTAAATAAAACGTAGGGCTTACAAATTGATTTGGCAGCTTGGAAATTTGTATTTTTAAATCTAATTAAAATTTTAGTTGAAATTAATAACATACGATTTTGAAAGACTTTTAAATATTTAAAATACCTTTAAAACATTGTTAACAAATTCACCTGCTTTCCTTCTTTTCAGGTATGTTGTCTAAAAATAATTATTGGTGAGTTATTTACTGGTGAGTTCCATACTGCCAATGGTGGAACCAAATTACTATCATAGGGGTGGAATTATATTCAACACTGCTCCTCTACGAATCTACCTTCAAAATATTAATATTCCTTTATAAAAACTCTTATATCTTCCTTGAAATTTTGGGTGAGGATCACTCACTGATGGAGCATAGGATAGTTGTACTAAAGTTTTTATTTTGGAAATTCGAACTATAAGTATCCGAAAAGTACTAAAACGTACTAAATTTGGCACAAATTTTTGTAGTAGGAATCAAAGTTAAGAATTAGGGTCGATATAAAAAGGTGGTTTTAGAAGGGTGTTCTCATGTATACGAAAAGAACTAAATTTGGTACAATC